AAGTCAGACGCTTAACCGACTGCGCCACCCAGGCGCCCCATAGTTACGACTCTTAATCTGAATCAATTGTTTCATTTGGGACTGCATATTGGTGCATATTGGTGACTTTCTCATTCTGTCATGTGAGGAATACATCTTTTTGAGGTCCACTACCATATGTGTGATGAAAGGGTGCAGGCATGCTATGTCTCGGGTGATAACGTCTCAGGCCTGGCTGAATTGAAGTAGCCATCCTTGTGCCTAGGTCACTTTCTCTAGGCACCCCACCAGCCGTCTGTCCACTCAGTTCTTTACTCTCTACTTGCCAATCGTGGGATCACTGAGCAGGTGTCTTACTGTGTTTGGGGCACTATCATAGAGTAACGTAGAACAGGAAGTGTATAAACAACAGACATTTATTTCTCATTTCTGGAGGCTGGGAAAGCCAAAATCAAGGCTCTGGCAAATTCAGGGTCTCATGAGGGCCTGCTTTCTGGTTCATGGACAGCTGTCTTCTCACTGCATCTTCACATGTTAGAAGGGGTGACCGAGCTCTCTGGGGTCTCTTTTGTAAGGTTACTAATCCCATTCCCAAAGGCCCACCTCCAAATACAATCACATTGTATGATTTCAACATACAAATTTTTTTTTTAAGATTTCATTTTTAAGCAATCTCTACACCCAACGTGGGGCTCAAACCCACAACCCTGAGATCAAGAGTTGCATGCTCCACTGACTGAGCCAGCCAGGCACCCCTCAACATGTGAATTTTTAAAAAATGTTTATTTATTGTTGGGAGAGAGAGAGAGAGAGGCAGTGGGAAGGGAATAGAGAGAGGATAACAGAGGATCTGAAGCAGGCTCCTCACTGACAGCAGAGAGCCTGATGTGGGGCTTGAACCCACAAACCGCAAGATTGTGACTTGAGCCAAAGTTGGCCGCTTAACCAACTGAGTCACCCAGGCTCTCCTGACATGTGAATTTTGAGGGGACATAGACATCCAGACTCTTAGTCTTCTAGATTTGACCCTAGGTTGTTGGTTAGCCCAATTTGAACTCTATGTGCCATCACCAAGGCATTTCAGCCAATCACTGGTGGAAATGTCTGTCTCATGGAGTTTCTTAGTGATTGAATTGAAGGTTCCAACTTTATATTCCAAATCCTTGGGTTCATCATATGAAACAGGCATAGCCTTGTGGAATGTATTAGTTTGTGTGTTAAGCAGTGAACACCACAGATTAACCTCTCTGACTAAATATGGAGACAGGGATAATTTGTAATAGAAAACCAACTCAAACCAATTTAGGCACAAAAAGACATTTATCCACCCAAATTTCTGAGGTGTCTAGAAATGTGGCTGCTTCAAGCAAGCCTGGTCCAGTGATTCCAATGTCATCAAGCTTCTCTATCCATATGCTTCTCTCTGGGTGTTCATCTTGTTCTGCGGACAGAATTCTCTGTGTGATAGAGAATGTGGCCGAAAGCAGCCCCAGATTCATTCCTTTGCAGGATGAGGTCCTGAGACAAGATCCTGGTTCCAAATGGAAATATCCCGGGAGAGAATTCTGACTGGTCCAGCTGGAGCCACGTGCTACACCATTCACTTTGGCCAGGCCAATTTCAATAAAAAAAATAAGTGAGGCGTGAGTTTGTGTACCCAGCTGGTGGTCAGGGGGAGGAGGTTGTTTGATTGAAGGAGTCAGAAGATGATTTGGTCTGGGAGACAGAGGGAGAGCTAGACTCAGAAAACAGTGACTATTCAGTTCCTAATGGAACCAGCAGCCGATTTTCTTTACATATTTCTTTGCTGATTAGTCTACATTTAACAAGGATTGGTTAATAGTTAACTGGTTGTAGGCTTGCAGACTCCTAGATCGCCTGGATGAGAGAGCAGGGCAACGAGCAAGAGGAGATAATCTGCCCCGATAGGGGTGGGGGATGGGAGCTGAGATAGGGGATGTGGGTAGGGGTGAGGGGGATGGGGGCTGAGATAGCGGATGTGGGGGGGGTGATGGGAATGAGGAGGGGTGCTCTGGTAGCAAAGATTTCCTCTGATACTCATCGTCTATACACTCTGTCTCTGTCTCTCTCTCAAAAATAAATAAACATAAAAAAAATAAAAAAGAAATTAATGTAGCTTAATCATACCCAATTTACATTCTAGGTTAACTAATTAATATGAAAGGGTGATTATTTTTCTTTAAAACTCACAGATGCAATCTACATATACACGATTTTGAGAATAATTTATTTTTTATTTATTAAAACTTTTTTTAAAGTTTATTTTGAGAGAGGGAGAGAGAGCAGGGGAAGGGCAGAGAGAGGGAAGAGAGAATCCCAAGCAGGCTTTGCGCTGTCAGCGTGGAGCCCGATGTGGGGCTTGAACCCACAGACCGTGAGATCATGACCTGAGCTGAAACCAAGAGTCGGACACAACAAGGTGCCCCGATTTTGAGAACAATTTAATACGTGAACTTCAACAATACAACTCTATTCTAATGTCATTATTTGAAATATAAAGAAACAGATCCTTACAAGACCAAAATAACCCATAAGCCATGAGGTTGGGTTTTATATTTTTCCTTATCTTTAAAAAAATTTTTTTTAATGTTTTTTATTTGTTTTTGAGACAGAGAGACAGAGTACCAGCGGGAGAGGGGCAGATAGAGAGAGAGAGGGATACACAGAATCGGAAGCAGGATCCAGGCTCTGAGCTTTCAGCTTTCAATGTTTATTTATTTTCGAGAAAGAGAGAGCACAAGCTGGGGAGGGGCAGAGAGAAGGGGACAGAGGATCTGAAGCAGGCTCTGTGCTGACAGCCCCGATGCAGAGCTTGAACTCATAAACTGAGATCATGACCTGAACTAAAGCCAGATGCTTTAACTGACTGAGCCGCGCAGGCGCCCCAGGAAAAGTGGCCTTTAAATTGAAGGAGGTGCTAGGTAGCAGAGAGGAACATGCTGCAGACCTGGAGCAGGGGTCTGTGCCAATGTAATTTGGGCAATAAGAGGAAGGGAGTGTGACTGGGATCGAAGGAAGTAGATTCTGGGATGTAATGTGACGTTTACATCTGTATTTTGTGAATGGTTGAACAGATGCTCGTATAGGGATAAGTGATCTGTTCAAAGCCAAACAGCTAAAAAGTGCTGGAACTAGAATGCTAGCTCAAGAGCATCAGATCTGAATTTCTTACATGCTCTACCACAGCCCTCAGAAACATCACTGTCTTCTGAGTAGGACCATCCCCTTTCGCTTAACAGTTCTGTAGCTACTAGTCTGTGCCCTCGAAACTCTCTAACCTGATGCTGTCCAGTACGGTTGCCATGGGACTCTTGAGCACTTGGAATGTGGCCAGTATGGATTGAAATGTGCTGTAATGGTAATGTACATATGAGATGTCAAGGACTTAGTAAAAAAAAGAAAAAAAAAGAATACAAAACGTCTCAGATCATTTTTATATTGATTTTTATGTTGAAATGATAATGTTTTAGATTTACTGTGGTCGATAAAATGTATTATTAATATTCATTTCATCTATTTCTTTTAACTTTTTCATTTTTTTTTTCAACGTTTTTATTTTTTTTTATTTTTGGGACA